CAACAATACATACAACTGAAATCCCTGAGGTGACAAAGGGCATTGTTGATTTGTAGGCAAGGCATATTGGATTACTGGAGACTCCACACTGTGAAATTATTATAAATCAGTAATTAGTTGGTGATGGAGGCATAATTTGGTTCAGAATTCTGAAGACAGAAAAAAATTGACTGATTAAAAATAATGCACTGTTAACTCAGTCCCTTGTGCAATTAAAAACTCAAAGAATTTGACTGAAGTAGTTAGAGAGGCCTTCTAATAGCAGGAAAAACTGTGACCATTTTAAAATGTGCTCAACTAAAAGCAGGATTGGGTCCTGGAAATGTTATTTCTTTAAAGACAGAAGAATGTGCTATTGCTTTTCACCCAGGAGAGCCCTCAGCCACTTAATGCAGTTTAACCTTTGGATGGTAGAACAAGAACCTGCAAGAACTAAGCAGTGCCTGGCACAAGAGAACAGCTCATCATATGATGTTTTTTTTGATGTACCAGTGCTTTGGAAAAATACTTCCTGCAGGTGTTCTGAATCACCTGGAGTTTTTCAGAAGCTACTTGATTTAATTTTCAAGTCCCTGCTGTGGTCACACAGACATGATCTGGGAAGTCCCTCACGACCAATTAGCTCCTGCAGGTGTTAAGTGGCACAAAATAGCCTATCAGATGTGTCTGGCTTTTTTTGGCCAAATCGTGTGATTTCTGGATCTTTCTTTGCTTGATTGGCATGATATTGCACTGATTTTGGTTTTGATTAATTCCGCTTCCTCAGAGGCCACAGAAGGACACAGCCAATGAAAGAAAGTGCAGTACAGCAGCAATTATGGGAGACTTCTGATAAATTCTAGCTTTGTAGAAATTACATGTTACATGAGATGCCCATAAAAATGAAGAGTCAGAAGTCAGGTCTGACCAAGTCCTTCAGTATGTGAGAGGAGTATGGATGGGACTCCATTCTGGGGATGACAGGAGGTCTCTTCTGAACATAGGCTGAGTCCCTACTACTCACAATGCCCCACACCACAAGGCCCAGAGAAGAACTGTATGTGACTGTAGCACTACATTCCTGATGGCCAACCAGGGCCCTACACGGAAGTGCCTACCACTGAACACCCTCTGGCAGCAGGCAGAGCTGAAGGAAGTCAGAAAGGCTGCTCAGGCTAGAAGAGCTGATTCCTGTGTCACCAGCCCAAACAGCTGTAGACACTGCTCACTATTCACTGCTTTGAAAGCCCTCTCTGAAGGCTTTTCACACTACAGCAAAAACACAAAATCAAAACCCCACAACAACAACAAAACCCAACAAACCCCAACAACTCAAAGATTTTGAGAAGGGTCTCTTATTACTGTACACTGTCTATTGCAACTGCTTGAACAAGAAGACTTATTCCAAGCAACTAGTGCTGGTACTCTGTGCACAAGCTGACAGCCGGAGAAGCAGAAAACAGAGGAGGAAAAAACAATTTAAAAACTAATTCTGCTTTAAAATAACTTCTATGAAAAACCTAGATACCTCAGTGACAGCTTAGGTTTTCAGAAGAGGTCACTGCCCTCAGCACATACCTGTTTGGTGTTTCTCCAGGAACCATATGGATTATGCACTCACTGGCTTCAGAGCAGCACTTGGCAATTACATTAACAAAGAAATTTACCCACACCAGGACACAGAGAAGTCCTTTTTATCTGCCCTCATCCAGTTTTCCAAGGAAATGACAAAGTTTTTGCATATCTCACCTGAAAAATTCTAAAGCTGCTGGCTATTTCCAACCAAACCAAAGGAGTAAGAGAGTTTTCAGCAAGAATTAAAATCCTCTACAGTTAAGCAGCTGGAGAGAAGACTCACAGTGTTTCCATAAGGCAAAGGATGCAGTGTGAGCATAACTCTTATCAGACACAAAAAAACCTGTGCAGGAGAGAGATCAAACAAATGTACAGACCACAAGAAAAACCTGAAGTAGCTGAACTTTGCATTATAAATCAAAAGGTAACAAGATTCGGTTTTGGGAGAGATTCATGAAACTATTATTGTGAGATGAAAATGTAATTTCACCCACTTCTTTACATCACATATGCTGCTGTTTTTATCCCAGCCTTCTTATAAAATATAATTGGTTTACATTTTGAAGACCTTGATGGGTTTTCTCTCATCATGGAACAGTAAGTGAGACTAATAAGCCAGTTACTGAGCACTTAAGCTCATGGATAATTTCCATATAAAAACATTAATATTTTCTTCATTTTAAAAATGCACCTTTTATTTGATTTAGAGGTTAATGCTCATTTTTGAATGTAATAAAAAGGAGAAAAGCTGAACTGTGAGTCAGTGTTTATTAACCTTGCTAATGAGACAGGCTTTTTCAGGCAAAATGGATATATCTTAATTGGTAAACTTGTGCATTGTCATTTAGCCAATTAATCCTTTCCCAACAAAGGAAGCAGCATCAATTTTATTTGCAGTGAATGGAAATAAACTTATCTCATTCTGTGTATCCATTTACACATTCTTAATTTCCCACTTAAATTAGTAAGAATGCAGCCCTTGGATTCCCAAAATAAGGTAATCCACAAATGAACATGAAAATATGGCTATACATAATTGATCTTAGTTTTGCAGTCTGTATATACACTAAATCTGCACTTTCATGGGATTAATCTAGAATTGAATGCTACATTTCCTTCAAAAGAGTGTGATTTGTACCTTTAGTAGAGGCATAAGAAAGCAGATTAAAACATTAAACTGTTTTCCAGTTTGTAAAAGCCTTGAGGGTGAAATTTGCACTACTGATGTTTAAATAGCACTGATGTTGAATGTTGACATTTCACACAACTGCTATTGAATCCTGATTCTATAAAGCATCCAAGTGTTTATCAACAGGTATTAGCAGTTTGCTAGAAACAACTATATATGTATTTTTATACATAAAAATGCACCCCAAAATTTTTCCTCTGTCCAACGTGTTACAAATTATAACCTGGATAAAAACAACTCTCAGAAATATTCCAGAGCACTGAGTAACATTACAGCAAAAGCACAATTCCCATTACATAATTCCTCTTTTTTTCTGATTTATACCCTGTAATACCTCAGTCCTTCTCATGAAACACTGAGCAGGCATAGAACTGTGAATAACCACCAACTGCACATTAGTTCTTAGAGTTTATACCCCATTTCTGTGCCCAACCAGAATAGTTAAGTGGCATCACACACTAAAATCTACGACTTTTTAATTATTTAGCAAAATTCAGTGTTCTTAGACACAGCTGGACTGCTTCTGATAGTTTATCACTTTGAGTTAACCTTACATTATCCTGGAGGGATATAATGCACAGAGGTCTGTGTGTTACTAGCTGTTAGGAGAGTCCCTTTGTATTTCAGGAACAATTTAGGGCAAGGTAAGAGCTTTTTCTTACCTTCTCTGCACACTGAAACCTAGCCCATAATGGCCTTAAAGCACAGAAAGGAGGATCATTTTAATAGAAAGGAGGTTCATGTCTTTGAAGGCTGGCATCTAGCACTGGAGAATGGAGAAGCATGACTGATTTGCATTGGGATGGCCAGGAAACTGGAGGAGAAGGGAGAAAAGAGGATACTGCTGTAAAAAAGAAGAAAGAAAAAGAGATCAGCTCTGGTTAATCTCTATTGCTTCTGAACACTTGCTCCATCTTCACTAGACATTGAAATTTAGCTGATGGGTAAGAGTTCCTAAGAATTATCTATGCTTGATTTAACCTAAACTGTGAATTATGAACTGTGAATGCTTTCACTGTAAACTGTGAGAACATTTTTGTCATGGTCATGTTAAGAAACATGCTCAAGTCTCAGTGCACCTCTTAAAAGATCAACTGCTTTCCTCAGGACTTGCAGAAGAAAAAAAGCAATGTGTACATATTTAAGCCATTGTTTGTGGTTAAAGAAACTCTGCAGATATCCAGACCTGCATTCTGAACAATCCCTTGCCAATTAGACAGTTAGCAGAAACTTAACAGCTTGTTAAGCTTAACTTTGAAGTGAGCAGAGATAGTATCTGGCTAGTATAATACAGGCTATTTTGTAGTTTGATTTTCACCCTACTTTCCCATTTTCTATCTGCCTGGCCTTTTTACAGTTTGTCTACACTATTATCCTATCTCTGCAATGAACTTGTTTCTTAGGGATTTTAATTATGTCTGGAAAAAATATGGCTTCTAGGAATGTTGTATGATTTGCTGCATTTTCTATGCCTTTTAGTACAGAAGATAGGTGCTTTTCAGCACGAATAGCCTCGACTATTCTTCAAAATGAGCCATTAACTCACTAAAGATAAACCCAATTTTGTCTGATGTCCAGCATGTCCTCAAGAAAGCAGGAGACAACTCAGCTAAAAGGTGACATGCTGAGAAATCTCATTCCTAGGGGCTACACCCAGAGCACTACAGATCTCTCTGTAGTTCACTAGAGTTCATTGCCCCAGTCCATGCACCCTTTTGCCAAAAGAGCTGTGCATTGAATTGAAGCCCTGAAAAGCTACTGGAATCGGCTTGGACATGATCTTGGTGGACAGTAACTGTGTCTAAGTCTTCCCTTTCTTTAAAAATTCAAAGAGTATGAATTTACAGTAAAGTCTGAGACTTAGTGACTTACCTGCAAAATTTCAAGGACAGGTCATAACTAAAAAACAAAACCAAAATCAGAAGAATTTGGTCATGAGGACTCAGCACATTTTATTTTAAAACGGTGGGTTCTAAAGGAACTACCAAACTATTTACATGGTAGTACTGTGGTTTTCTAGTCCTTCACACCAGGACAAAACGAGCAGGTACATGGCTGAGGATTCTCCTTGGAGAATTGTTTGGGGTAATTATCACAGTGACAGTCCATGACAGAAGTGGTATTACTGGTGGTTCTCTTCTCTTTGCATAAGAAGTTGCTGACCTCACTGAACGTAAGTACATGTAGCTGGGACATAGGAAGCCTCATACAGTAAAAGGATAAACAGTGCCAAACCATGGACTTCAGAAAACTATTCTTATTCCAGAATAAGAGCTTTATTAAGTGCTGCCAGCTTCATGTTCTCCACATGTTTTTGAACCTTCTCTCTGAGCTCTTTGGTTTTGGGTTGAAAATGTCCATCTGGATGACTGTGTGGTTCTCTGCAAGAAGTGTTCAAAAGTCATTGTATTTATAATAGCCACAGGAAGTACTTAGGAATGTTGACAAAAACAAAGGAAAAGACAGTCACACATAATTTACGTCTTTTTCATAAGGAATAGAGAGGGTATTCTACTACTTATGCAGATGTGGAAAAGGAGTGAAACTGTGAAAATACCATTCACTCTCTGCTTGGCCAGTTAGGAAAGCAAACCACTGGACAGGTAAACAGATACTAGACTGAGTTTTACATTTTACTTATGAAGGAGCATATGCTGTAATGGCCAGAACAAGAGAATCCACATGATTTGCCTTAAGGATAAAATGCTGAAACTACTGTAGAGGAGCAATGTGAGTTCTGTAATCTAGTGAAACATCACCCCATCAATAACAACAAAGAACCCTCCAGTGACAAACAAAAGGATTGGGACTTTGTTGCTTGCTAATAAATTTGTTTCCCTCTTCACAAATCCAAACAAAAAGGGAAGCTTTAAACAAGTAAGTATCAACACAGAGAGGTGTTTAATATAGAAAAGTATTTCCATTTTTAAAGAAAACATCTAAAACTTCAAAAAGAAAGAAACTTGTGGTTATAAAACTACTTACCCAGCAGCAGCTTCTGACACTGTATCACTGTGGAGAAAAAGGTCACTGTTCAGTGAGACAAGCTATCCCAAATCCCCACATACTGACAAGCAGTGCCATAAAATGCAAAAAGCTGCACTGACTCAGACACACCTGTGTTTTTACAGCAGAATTATTTACAACCAATGCTGCAGTAATCAAAGTGTAGCAATCAGTGTTTTATCAGAGAGCTCATCATACACAGCACTGTTTTAAAGTTTAATGGCTGACAGTTGTACACAATTGTAGTAACTTAAGTAATTTCTCTCTAAAATGAAATAAAATGAGACATTCAAAGCTCTTGAAGGCTCTGAAAGTTTCAGGCTACTATGCACATCCTGACTTCTAAGCCACATCATGACCACTTTAATGAGGGGGCAACAGTTGGACAGAAAGATTAATTCACTTGCTCCAACTCACATGAGGTATCTGTGAAAACACAGGGTTAGAATTCAGCACTTCCCCTGTTTTGCTCTGCAACCACTTACTGTACCCACTCAGCCTGATGCTCGAGCCCACTGCCCCCAGTGTCCCACTTACCACCTCACCCACCTCCCTGCATCCTTCCTGCAACATCCCCTTCCCCAAAGTTTCCACACAGGGTATCCACTTCTGCTTCCAGGCACCACAGAACTGCTGGGCAGTTCTGAAAAGCTCCTCTGAAACCACGGTGGTAACCATCAACCCCATAAAAGGCCCATTGGTCCCCCAGAGCTTTCCTTGTCCTCAGGTTCTCTCTCAAGGTTTCTCTGCTGAGCTGAAACTCAGGACACTGGCCTGACAACACGGGAAAAGGCCTCCCCCAAAAAAAAATTGGCCCCTGCAGTGGCCAGTTTACAACATTTTAGGAAGCAGGTAACTGTGTGTTCATGTATGCCTTAAACAAAAAGGCTATTGGTGGAGTGTGGAGCTCAGATAGCAGAGCAAACATGACACACCTCTAGGAAGAGCCTGAGAAAAAAAGCACCATGCCAGGGGAAAATTCTAAGGGCTCATTCCTCTGCCACCCTTAATAAACATCTAACCAAAAGGATCACTGACAAGGAAATGCCACTGGTACAAGAACATTGAATACATCCGTGCAGGCAAGAAAACTGCCTCAAGTGTTAGATCATATTGATACAACTGAAGTCAGAGACATGCAGGCCAGTGTGTCACATTCACAGCTGCTTTCTGAAGTCCAATCTGGAGATTACATTTGCAATGCAAATTCACTCAAAGTACCTGCATCCCACTCATGATGGAGCAACTAGAGCATCTCAGCATGACCTTCTACATAATTCTGAAGGGGATGCTCATCTTCAGATTCCATCCCAATCCTCTCCTCTCATTTCAAATTATACCTACCCTTCTTTTACTGATTTCTCATCAGCTTCTGAGAGTGTCTGTCCAACTTGTGGAAATTCAGCTCTCACCATCTCTGGAGTAAGAATCATTCCGAACTCAGTTTCATCTGTTTCACTAAAAATTAGTAAGATGAAGAACAATCATGCTTTATCCTCTAAAAATATTTTTTAGCCAGCAACAACAACAAAAAATGTTTTAGGCAAGAGGGACTTCGTGCTTTTGCCTTTGAGGATCTCCCAGGACAGGTTTAGACACATTCATACAAGTGGTTAAGACATGATCAATCACACTGAATACAAAATAGAGGAGAAACTTACTGGTCAATTATGTTCTCCCTGTCTCTCTCAGGTAAGTCATCCAGTGTTGGTGGTGCATCTCTTGGAAGCATATCTAAACTATAAGGATCCCTATGATGGAAATGGTATTAGTTTAAGATGGACAAAGAGTAATTGCACTCAAACCTTTTATTTTGAAGGTTCACAGCAGTTGTAGTTACAGTGAAGATTATGTACTTTTAAATATTCCTGGAAAATCTGAGTACACCAGAAACCGCTGTGATATGAGGGAACATGACCCTGAGAAACAGGGGCTACCACTGGGTACAGGTGTCCCTGTTAAAAGTTTTACCCTTCATACTTCTGCAGCACAGAGCTTGTGCCTCCTGGGCTCTTCTGGCACTGAATCAAAAAGCATTCAGGATAAATGTTACTGAAAAGCCCAGACTGGAACTCTCCTTCTAGGGCTAGGTACTTCCTCTAATGATATTTTTCTTAACCCACCCTTCAAGGAGGTCAGTAGAGCTTTTCCCTGTTGGTTTTTGATTTCTGAGCAACAAATCCCTCCACCCATAGGTCCACATTTATCTGTGAGACTAGTTACTAGGGAATTTAGTTACAGACAGCAGAAACTGGTGCAGGGTAGAGGCACTGAATATTCAAATTCTTCCTTACCTAGGTGTTGTAATTGTCCATGTGGGAGAGTTAGAAAAAGTGGAATACACCACAGGTAAGAATTTTCTCCATTCCATTACTCCAGAAATCACTTCCTGAAATGACAAGTGCTACAGCAATCAGTCCTCTAATCTAGACTGGAGTGAGGAGAAAGGCTTCCAGGACAGAACATCTGATTTCTTAGTTGAGAATTTAATTTAGGGAGCTGCAGTTCTCCATATTTCAAAGATGCTTCCTCCACTGCAAGGTCATGAAGAGAGATCATGTCTATTGTAAATAGACAATGAAAAGAAGGAAAGAGCAGAGAAATGCTCAGGGATAAATAAGAGAGATGGATAAAGCCTAACAAGAACAAGTTATTCTGGCCCATGTACTGACTATTTAGATGCATGCATGATTTACATTTGAAAATGTTTTCTATTCAGGACTACTCTTCACCTTCCTTTTTTATTCCTTGGAGCAAATCTCAGCAAGAACATATCCAAGTCAGGTACTCCTACAATAAACCCGAAAGGCCATACCTTGTGATCTAGAAATTTCTTTTGTGTGACTGGAATACTGGATCCTTTGGGGCATTCCTTGGTGAAGATGTATTTTGGATGAGGACAAAGATGATATTCAATATTTGTTTCAGAATAGTCCAAAGGAGGTAAAACTGGAACCAGTCCTGGACTGGGGTTCTAAAAACAAAAAAGAGATTATTTTTTAAAAATATTCTGAGCACCATAGAGAACTAAATTGATGAAAATTCAGTTATTGCAATTAATATAGTCTCCCCAGATTCAAACCTTTGTCTCCTTGTGACTGTTCATTTCCTGTCTCTTCCCTTCATCACAGAACCATAATCTGCCTGGTTTATCCATGTTCTCTACTGTCTAAAATATAGCAATTTAGGTGTTGTTTCCAAGTTTGGAAGAAAAAGATGGTTACTCCAAAACCCACTGCTGATTCTCTGAACAGTTCAGAATCTAAGAAAAGGAACTGGCCTTGCAGTGGTGGAAGCTACTGAGTATTCTGCCATCTCTTTCACTGCACTAGCATCTGTTTCTGAATAAAGATAATGCTGGGTAGTGTGGGATCAGGCTGTGCCTGGCTCTTACACTGACATGACAGAGGGATGAAAGAGATACACAGAGGATCTCATCAGTAAGTCCACTGGAGTCCTGGCCACATGCAGTGAGGACAAGTCTATACCATATATGCTATGCCAAGACCACCAGACTAGCACACTGGGCTCTGGGTCTTGGCAGCCAAGTAATGCTAAAGGACAGAGCCACCCTAGTCAGGCACAGTGTCAGGCTGGCTTGGACATGCTGCCTGTACCCACACACAGCACTTCACTGAGCTATACAGCTGCCTCTGCCTGCTCAGACACGCCTCAGGGACCTCCCGGCTGTGCTGCACTGTGTGGGAAATACCATCTGTAGCTGGTCCCAAGCAGCACAATCTACATGACAATTAAGTAACAGAAAATCATCCTATACACGTGGTTGTGATTTTTTTATTCTCTGTGCCTAATAATTTGGAAATGTGGATTTGGGATGCTATGAGAACTATTGGAAACCCTCAGGCAGCAGGATGTAACGTGAGCAGAGTTTGACTTCACTTTTCTCATTTTACCTATGGATCAGGCACAAGTGCCCTCCCCTCACTGAACAGAAGAAAAAGACTCCACCTGTCCTGCCTACCTGGGCAAAGCTTGAGGTTATAAAGGGACTGAGATGCCAAGATCATAGCTCTTCCTCTAACATCCAAACGGGGAAACAAATGGAGAAGAAGGGAGTGGCCCCAATGTGTTCTAGGGAATCCTGGGATCAGCGACCACTGTGGAGAGTGAGACTGGAAGGGTCTCCAGTTCTCTGCTATCACTGGCAACTTTGCTTTATCATCACCCTCCTAAACTGATCAAATTGCACCTTGAAATGAAGTTGTGCCCTTCTCAGTGGGATGTGCTCTGTGACTCCTACCTACAAGGGCTTGTACCTTGAAGGACTATACTCACTCTGGATAGCTGTATATACTAACCTAAGCAAGAGAATTGCCCACCAATTCCACATCAGACTTCTGATTAAAGAAACACTTTTCCCCTTCCTTTCTTAAGTTCTTTGTGGAAGTTGATTTCTACTTACAAAAATGCGAAGTGGGCTGCTCTCTGTAGGGTAGACTAAAGCTCGGGGAGGAGCCAGATTTAAGAGGCTGATATCTCTTTCTGCTGCATCTTCTGGTGATGCAACCATCATCTGGGATGTTTCATCCTTGAAAAACACAGATATCAAAGGTGTTTGGAGTGTAATAAGCCTTTTGATATAAAATGCTGAGGTCAAAGTAATCAAATAATTGTAGAAACATAGGGTTGGGAGTGAATTCAGCAAAGTCTGTATTTGAGATGACTTGTTACCTGGGCTCCCTGCCTCAGTGGTCGGGAAAGTTTTCGAGGTTTGTAACTGGTGGCTGCATAGTGTGTACAAAATGGCTGATACTTCATAATGCTGAAGTGCTGAGGAACCTAATGGCAGAGAAAAAAAGACATGCTGCAGGAGATGACAACAATCACTTTTGATTAACTCATAGATGGAATGGGATGGAATGGAACATTCCAGCTTTATCACACACACAACCTGGAACACTATTCTAGAACTAGATACGTGACCAAAACTTTGAGAAGCCTTATTTCACCAGGATAAGCTGAATGAATGCATAAAGGAGTACTTCCATTCTTGCTTTTCTATGAAAGATCACGGATTTAACAGTTTCTTGATCAAATATACTGAACTTAATGGGGTGGAGAAAAGCTGTGTTAAGTAATATACGTAACACTGATAGATGAACCAATGTGTAACAAGGGGGAAAGGTGCCACAGGAGAGCTCCTAGACTTGTTACACTACCTGAAAACAAAGGAAGCGAACATTGAGCCAAAATCTGCATTGATTTGAACCCCAAGAAATATTTTTACTTTGATGGAGTGCAGAATTTGATCTTCTGGTATTCAAAAAATGGAGAGAAAAGGGTTTCAAAGTCAGGAGAAAAAAAATATTTCTGTAATTCATGAAGTTGAAAAAATATATTTCAAGAAGGAGATGTTTGCATTTCCTATGCAGGAATGAAGTAACCAAGCATGCAGAACTGGATGCCAAATAAATAAAAATCTTCCATTATGTTCTAAAAGGAAGGACACTTTTGTTATGTCACTTTTAGAAAACTCTGAAATCAAAGGAAAAACTGTGTGGCACGAAGGACTTGCAATATCCTCATTCATAGAAGGATTTTGTTGTTTGAGATAATAATTTCAGCTGAGGTTATTAATCTCTCTAGAGACTATTGCTCACTATAAGGTGGTTATTCATGGAAACAGGTGAGACTTGTTTTTAGCAAAAGCATGCTAACCATACAGTCATATTAAGGCAACATTTCTACTGTGCTGAACTCTGAGGCCACTGCATCTGGCAGAAAACATGTCTGTCTCGACTCATGAAGGACAGAAACATGATACAGCTGAGGGGGCTGTACTGACTTACCTTCAAGTCACAGAGAGGAAGAATGTGTCTGATTTTCACATCTACAGATTCAATAGGAACTGGGCCAAGAGCATTAGGTGCCTGAAAGAATACAGTATTTAAACCCCTTATATTTTATTTTGCATTGGCAGCAACTCATCAGCACAGCTTCCAGAAAACATATTCACAAAATTATGCAAACATATATACAAACATTATATATCTTTCAGTTTGATACTTCTCCTGTCCTTTCTTGGACTTTGGCATTTCAGTTATATTTTATTTCTCTTCTTCTGCAAAAGAACTCTGATCATTAATGTATTAGTCAGAGTTTCAGAATGCAAAGATTTTGTTACTGTTTTCAGCAGCATCCTTAGTAAACATGAAGTCCTGAATTAATTTGTTGGAACCCCAGAACACCAGCCACATAATAAAATTTTAATAAAGGCAGTACCAGGCCTGGGGCAAATGTCTTCGACAAAAACCTAGCTTGAGTGTTGGCCACCTTTTCAATTACTGTACCTACCAATTCATGGTGCAATTCATGAGAACTGGAAAAGGGGAATTCAAAAGGCAATATCCGAGCCTCAGATAAGCGGGAAGAAAAGCTCTCACATTCTTCACTCTTCTCTGGTTTGGTGAAACTCCTGCTTTCTGTCCCAAACGGAAAGCAAATATCAATATTTTGTAATATATCTTAATAAACTCTTTCAAAAATAGAATCAAGCCAAAAATATGTATTTAACATCTTCCTAAGACAGGATGTGTATAGTAATTTTAATGTAAAAAGTAAGGTAATAGCTCATCAGGGCTTTAATAGCCACATCTACAAGATAGCAGACACAATACCTTGGCTAGGAGACAGATCTAATTTCCCATTTTCTAAAAGGACATTACAGCCCCCTCATTCCAGCATGATCCTCCATCTCATTCCATTCACCAAGGCAGAGACAAGTCAGAAGGCCTCTCTTACACTAACTACGATTACACCTTCAACTTGAACCACCTCTGTAACTTCTGCATACTGGGAATGAAAAGTGCCTACTTGCAGAAACAGGAAAAGGCCTGGAACACTTTCAATGATGGAGCAGCCACAACTTCTGCCCTATTCTTAAGTAGATAAGCTGCAAGGCTTCTAAGAAGAGTTAATCACATTTTTTAAATCTGGTAAACAACGTGTAGAAAAAATAGACATATTTTGACTACAGCCACTTCTACCTTTTAGCAGGGCCTGCTGCAACAGGACAAGGGGTAATGGTTTTAAACTAAAGGATGGTAGATTCATATATGATATAAGGAATAGATTTTTTACAATGAGGGTGGTGAAACACTGGCACATGTTGCCCAGACAGGCTGTAGATGCTCTGTCCAGGGAAACATTCAAGGTCAGGTTGGACTGGGCTCTGAGCAATCTGATCTAGTTGAAGATGTCTCTGCTCACCGCAGGGGGTGGTGGACTAGGTGACCTTTAAAGGTCCCTTCCAACCCAAATTATTCTATGATTGTACCTTGTCACTTCTTTTTTTGTTGTTGGGAGATCCTTCGTAAGGGCTCTGTCTTTATGTTTATATGCAATGTATCTGGCACCCTGCAGTGCAACCTGAATTATCAAAACTGATGGTCAAAATATCAACTTGTTCTTCTACTTCTTACCAGACACAGAACTTTCCTCCAAACCTCTGGTTCCTCTGGTTAGCCCACGGAACAGAAGTAGTAAATTATTTAGCCGAGTCTGAATCATAATCTAAGAGAATGATTTCAAAGTTCAATATTAAGCCAACCACTCCAAGATGTACAGCCACAGAAATATAGATACATTACAACTGTATTTATTGTATTGATGGTTTTCTGTTCAGGAGGGAGAAAATGTGGAAGGAGAGATGTAGAATGGAACTCAACTCTACAGTGACATTACACAGCAAAACAGTTCAAACCTTCATTTAGTCTTATAGGTTAATTAAACTCTTTTTGGCTAGATCCCGATCCTTCATCTGTATCTGTTGGCATATACAGACTTAGCAGTGGGGAAACAATCAGTTGATCAGGGCTGTATTCAGAGTAATATTGAGAATAGATTGGAGAAGAATATCCAAACTGGATATTAAGAAGGAAATTTCCATGTTGCTTCCTGCATTTAGATTAACTGGGAAAAGAGCAGTACAGATGCAAGATAATGCTTAAACCCATTGAGATATGTGATTTTACTGATTAGTTTTTAGCTTCCAGGTTGAAAGGGATCATTGGAGGTCCTATTCCAACCTCCTGTTTCAAAGGTCAGTGATGAGATCAGACCAGGTTGCTCAGAGCTTTATGCAGTCTGATCTTGAAAACATTCAAGAAGGTAGACTGTACAGCCTCTCTGGGCAACCTGCTCCAATGACTGACTGTTCCCATGGTGAAAAAGGCTTTCCTTATACACTGTCTCTATATCTCTTATTTGAATTTATGCCCACTGTTTTCCATGTTCCCACCATGCACTATTGCAAAAATTCTGCCTCCATCATCAACAAGCTCATCAGAGGTGTTCTAAGGTGCTGCTCTCTCTCTCCACTTATCCTCTCCAGGCTCCTCACAGTGTGAGTGCTCCAGACACTGACCATCTTGGTGGGTCTACAACAAACTCCCTCTAGCTTAATGATGTATTTCTTGTACTAGGGGCCCAAAACTGAGCACTGTATTCTATTATCAAATCTTACCTTTTTTGTGCACAAGTATTTTGTACTTTAAAAAAAATTTAAACTGATCTGCATTTCTTTAGTATTGATTGCAACACCACGTGAATACAAAACTTACTAGAGATATTTATTTGCTGGTAAAGTGGGGACACGTATCAAACTATCAAACCCCTGGCTAGCCCTGAAGACTCCTTGTGTGCCAGTCTGCATGTTCTTCTGTGCTATTTTCAACATGTCATGCCATCACACTGCATTCTGGTTGTTCCTGTTACCTTGTATGCTGCTTGTTGGAATTTCCTCAACATCTTGCTTCTGTTGTCCCAAGGGTCATTTTGGAGCAAGTCAAATGTGGGATGGACATTTGGATGCTGCATAGTTGTTGTTTTTTTTTATTTTAAAGAAAAAGAAAAGAAAAAGGACACCACTTTTTACAACCAGACAAGAGAGGAATTTCCTCCAGTCCAAGCCATTCCTTGGCTTGAACCCATATGTTATCTTTAAACAGTGAAATTAAGTCAAATGAAATTGTTTGCAGTGTTGGTATTTAACCAGAGACCTTCACTGCAGGGCTTAGTGGGAGGTAATCACCTAATATTTACAGATGCAATATGAAGAATGCAGAGATAATGCAGCATGGTCTGCATCCACACAAATGACAACCACATACTACATGGGCAGTCAGACAGTGGAGAAAATGCACTAGATCTCTGCTGAGTACACGTTTCATTTTGCACAGATGTGAAGCTGGAAAACCTGTAGGAGATCCCACCAGTAACCCAGCAAAACCAGTATCCTATCTCAAATAATGGCTGAGAGCACATACCCACAGGACTAGACTGGAGTAAATTTACAGTGATAATTCCCCAGAATAACCTCCCCACATGTAGAGAGCTCTTGCTCTGGACATACTTGAGGCAGAGGTGATGTCTCTTTATTTAATGCCTTAGAACACTCTTGATACATTCATCTCTTGCCTAGTTTTAAATTGATGTGACAAAAGAATGTGACACTAGAAGAGACTGCAGTGGCCCCATGGTATATTATCTCTCAATGAGAGAGAAGACACTCAACTGCCACTTAGATTAGGAATGTCCTCAGAACACCAGCTCCACACAACCCCATGCCATGCCTCAACAAACAGTTTTCAGCACTTTGTAATTGGCATAAGAATTTAGTAAAAGACCAACTCCCACAGCTATTATTATTATGTTCCCCAAGAAGTTGTGTTGCTAACATTCAAAGTTCCTTCAGTAGAAGGGTATCTATTAAACAAAGCTCCTGATAATCCCAGGAAATGGATCTTAGAAGCACCTCACACTACAGAGAAAGAAAAAAAGTACCAGAAAGGTTCCTGTTAATCAGACCTGAAGGTAAAGGCTGCAAATCTTCTGATATGCTTAACCTTATGTTTAGGCATGAATGAGCTACTCCTGAGAGAACTTCCAGAAAAAAGCCACTGCAGGCTAGGCCTGCAGATTTCCACCTGTCTCTCCTATGAGATCATCAGAAGCTGAGCTGTGCACGTAGCACAGTGCCTGCCCTACTGTACTAAAATTAAAATGGGAAATATTACACTGACAGAGAAATGGGAATATTAGGAGGAAGAGTATTCAGTGCCAAATGTCTATGGCTGTTTGTTAGCTTAGTAGGTGATAATAACATATAAACAAACCTGGTCAACAGGCCGGGTAACACGTCTGGAAGAAACTTTGACTTCATTCCTTTGAAACTCTTGTTCCATGACAGGATCTCCTCTTTGGATCTACTTTGTCAATAGGGAGAACAATCACATCAGTACAAAGGTACCAGTTAATTCTTTTCTCCCTTACAATTAGTGGGACTCACAATGTAACATTTTGGAGCTGCCTGACAAAACACTGTCTTCATTCCCTCTAGGGAGTGATTACTGCAACCCTTGAGCAAGGCAAACAAAGTAAAATAATGTCTTTTTGGGTCTGAGTTTAAATCAGATCTCTGCCCTAAAGAAACACAGTTCATTTTGCATAGCCAGAATCAGCCAGAGAAGCAAAACTGAAGATGCAGAGGACTTGTAACAATTCACTAGTGCACTGCATAATCTGAAAATGCAAGTTTTATTCTAAATGTATAGAAAAAGCAGCAAAGACTAACCTTGTATTGCTCTTCTTCTCTCTGTCGGTTTTCAATAATCTCCTTTTTAAATTCCACAGAGAGCGGATCGTTCCCTTTATGAACTTGCCTGCGTTTCCAGCGGAGGCAAGAAAAATGCTTTACTTAATGCACAGTGTACTTCATTTAAAAGCTAACAAACCAATCCTCCTCTTCCTAAGGTGTCTAGGGTTCCATAACATTCAGCACAAAAGCAGATCTGTGGATTGCAGATAGTACCATGGTGTGCTTACACACACAACTATACGTTTTGCTTTATGCCATTTGATGTACATGAGCAGTGCTGTTCCGCTCATGATACATTTTAGCCTTGATTTATTCACAATCATGACAATGGTTCCCTTTGATCATAAGGGCACAACATAGGATGGACAAGAACAAGGTTAGGTGAAGAAGGTTTTCAGCAGATTTATTTCTGAATGCAACCGTAACACAATCAAAGACCTCACTGGGCACTCCTAGGGGCTACTATTGAGAGTCCTCTTAGGTAGAAGAGAAAAAATTGAAAGCTAAACAACAGTAACTTAGCTGTAAAGAAACCTAGTCAGGACATGAAATGGCAACATTATGCACTAGTGGATATTGCATACACCTTTCACAGAGGCCTTCATTAAGCAAAGCCTAATGTCATTCATGTGGTTAACTAACACGTACCACTTCAGATGATTTGCTTCCTCCTCCTGAATATTTTGTTTGACTTTCAGTTGAAATGCTGCTTCCTTCATCTGTCTTGTTTTTATTCCTTCATTGCCTTGGCAAAGGACTGCAGGAGTATCAGAAAGCCACAAACACCTCAAACTGGATTGAATTTTCAATTGGGAAATCCACCCATTATATAACTCATTAAAGCTAAGGTGAGATTTCTTACTGAAACTACAATCACATTACCTCAGCAATTCTGAAGCTGAGTTCGTCATCAGAAACCTACAAATAATGCAAGAGACCAAGTTGATGCTAATTAATTACATTACCTTCTTTCAAGTCCTTAATCTTCAATTTGCCTGGTTCCTGATTCAAAACAGTAGCTACAGCATATGGATTTGACAAGTCTGTGGGGAATCTGAGGTTCTGGTATTCAATTTCCTACAAGACATGAATTCATAGGAAGAAACAGAAACAAGAAAGGTTTTCAGCCCAGAAAAGTTCTTGTGATTACTATCTTTTCACACCTTTACTTTTTTGATTGGCCTCCATCGTGGTCGGTCTCTTCCACTCCATGAAATTGGTTGGTCTCTCCTCCACACCATGGGTTTTCCTGCAGACACAGCTCTTTTCTCTGGATGACTTTGTTGTTTGTCAAAATGTTCTTTTCTAGGTGTCAGAAGGACACATATTGCTCTTATAAGTACTCTGTAAATGGTATATATTAGTTTATAATGTATACGTAAGTCTAGGACATGCATTTACATTCCCTTAAATATACAAGGAGAATGGCAATTTGTCTCCCAAATTACAACTGGAACCAAACTTTCTAATCTGCAGAGTTCACAAAAAATTAAGTACAGCCCCAAAGACCCTCTTGCTCAAAACCCCTGTATCCTGCAATGCCTCAGCAGTAAGAGTAACACAGAGAAAATGTAACAGAAGTTGAGGATGCTCAACACTTCTTTAAGGATTTGTAACTTCTTACTTTTCTTTTACTATAGTTGCCCTTCATACATATTAAGGGCATTCTAAGCAAATGATGTAAGAGGTACATGTATTAGCAATCTAATTGCATTAGTGCATTTTAAGCATCCATAGATACAAACGTTTCAAATTATTACAGCAAAATGGCATAAAATCCTATTGCATAGGAATTTTTTAGCCCTGGGCAAAAATATTCAAAAGGTCAGCCAGCCACACATACATTAGACTCAGATGTGGTATTGATGTTCCTGTGAACACACATACATAGGGTTTTGAGTGAAACTGTAGAATCCGTAACTGCATTGTCATTTGTGCTGTTCCATACTCAAGTGGGGAATATTTCACAGTTATTTCCACTTTCCCATTGCCTGGAATGATTCCTGAGATTAGAGAAGAAAAACAGTAAGAGTCCATCTAACATGAATCCACTTAAGTATGCTGCAGTTGATTCTGGAGTACATTTTTTAAAAGCATATATCAATCCTTGAATGGATGGCAATAGGCCTGGAAAGGTATTTCAGGTCTCAAAGTGCCTTTCAAGAACTATCAGCTGCCAGATAATAGGAGGTATTTTGCAGTAGCAGAGAGATTTGACAGAAAGGCTGTAGTGTTTCCTACTGTTGTGAAAATGATTGCCTCTTTATATGTAGAAATTATTAACATGCAGCTGCCAGTGTTAAGTCTCTGGCACCTTCTGCTTTTATGAGCAAAGCATCAGATTCCTCTAGGTTCTTTCAATATACCAGGCATGGAAATAGGCAAGCACACTGTAGCCAGAAGTCCCTGGCTCTTGTAAAGCCTGTACACAGAGGTCTAGACTGACTGAAATACCCACTGCCATCCAATGAAACACCTGCCACCGTGTGTTTTCTGCCCATCACTGCAATGGCTCCTGAAGCAACAGACACAATTATATCAAATTCTTCCAGACCACCAGTGAAAAACAGCTACAGGGATATGTTTAATAGAGCAGAGGTCACATTTTATGTCCCCTGTGCCCCCAGTCACGGAATGTGATGCACACTTATTCCACAAGGAGAGATTTCTGTTCCTTTAATGGGGTAGGAGCCAGTCAGTCTTTGGGGGAAAGTGTCATAAAGAGGCTTCCTGCCTCCCTCTTCTCCAAAGGCTGCACCAGCAAAAAGAGCAAAGGCCAGATAGACTGTTTGGGACATCCCCTATTCGGCCAGAGCTCTGTAGCTGGGCATTTACAAAATAAATCTACCAGCCACAGAGAGCTATTTGCCATGAGGCTGCATATGACCAATATTTATCAGCATGCATTTACCTGAATACCCTCTGAGGCAAAAGCTTTTTCTGTACAGCACTGACTACCCGGTCACAAGAAGCTACACTTAGTAAATGTGGATTTAACATTTAGAATTTTAATTAAGTTCAATCTACCAGATGTTGGCTGGACGGTGAAGGCTCTGTGAGGCTGAATAAAATCAATGTGGAATTCAAAATCTATTGGACAGCTGCACTGCAACGGGATAACATACTCCTTACTGAAAAGAAAGGAAGAAAGAAATTAATGAAACTACAGTCTATCACCAATTACAGGTTGGAAAATTGTGTGCACAACATGCACTGAATTTATCTGTGTTCAGAAGGATGGGTTACTTATGAATGTTAAAATAGTAATTTCTTGCTGTTGCAAAATAGCAAAATATTTCAGAACTTTCAGTGAAATGAGAGGAAACTGAGGAAATGAGAGTAAATCTTTATTTGAATGCTGGGTATTTTGCATCTTGACTCGCTTTCTCCTCCCCATACATAATCTGGTTACAGAAAAATGTACTGAATTTACATTTTAGAAGTTATTTATGTGCACCCTCACATTCTTATGAACTGCAGTATCTAGCTAGTATGAACAATCCAAACTGAGTAAGTACGGAACCAGAAATCAGCCTCCTCCCACAGCCTTCCCTGTAGGGAACAGTGAGAGGAGGCTCTGTGCTGTCTTCAAGGGTGTTGAAAACTCCAGCAAATCAGAATGACTGGACTTCAACCACGGTAGGAACAATGATGCTGTGGCCCTTTATGTCTCATGCTGGTTGTGTGAGGGGTATTAGCACACATCTTTTCAAGCTGTCTTGCTTTTGTATGCATCTATTTTCATGCATCAAACTGAAACACAGAAGTATTGGTGTAACACCATCCATCATCCTACAAAGCAAGACCAAAGTACTCAGGCTTATTTTTGGTTTTTGTAAACTGTCTGACTGAAACCCTATCCTGCTGATTAGCAAAGAATGCCTGCTATACACAGTGTTCCTTTGGAAAGCACATTCTGGAATGTCTAAGGAAATAAACAACAATTGCAAAGTCCTTTTTTTTTGTTTTTCCCTGCCTTAACATGACCTGTTCATGAAGCAAATGTAAGGACAGAACGGGGAGGCAACTTGTTTTAAGGTATAGTGGAGCTTGTACAGTAACAAAAGTGATTTAGAAACAAGACAATTATGTTACCTGTTGCCTGACAGACCTTCTGTGCCCAAGTAGAAAGCTGGGTGGTAGAATATAGGTCTTATCCTACACTTACAGAAGTAAAAGGCAGTTTTTCCATTGACCTCAGTGGGCTATGAACTAAGGTCACAGTCCTTTGAGTTCTGTACAGAACCAAGTAGCTCAGAAAGCTTTAATTTTTAGGAAAGTTTTTAATTGCCTAGTGATGAAAAATACTGGTAAAAACACCTGAAAACATTAGTATTTCTCTTCAGGAATGCTTCCAAATTCCCTCCGGGGCATCTCTGAACATTCCCGTTGTGTTGAAAAAATTCCCCATTACTTAAAATCGTATTTGCTACTCTGCCTAATCTCTCCTCTGTCTTCTGAGAGTATGGAAATTCTGTGTATTTCAGCACTTGTTATAAAAATGGAGGAAATAAACAAAATCACATATTTCCTAGAGGCACCTAGAAAGTCACGAGCTATGTTCAGTCCTGTGAGAAAGCTGTAACATCACTACTGACAGATTCATTAGAGTTTAACAGACAAAGGGGGATTAGGAAAACCAATAAAGACAAAAATGTTCATTCTACAATGCTGGGCTTGCTTTTATTGCAGAATTTTGCATTCTCCCTGTATGTGTCTTGCCTATTCATACTTCTGTGCTTCAGTAAAATTCATGAGTTTCTTCCAACTTGCAGGCTAAGACCAAACCTAATACTAAGACCTCCTGTTCCTAGAATTCATTCAAATCTTCACACTAACACAAATCACTATAATTGTAACTAATATAGTCAATATACTACAGAACTAAACTCTATTCAATAGGATTTCCCTTTCTTTTTTCCCCTTTCTAGCTCCTATTAACAATTACTACCAATTACTTAATGAGAAGAGTCAGTGTTAAAACTATGCAACAAAAGAAGATGCAGTCTATGCCATTTAGAGCTCCACATCAGAAAATCACTTTAAATATCTTCAAATAGAAGAAACAAATGTAATGACTGATGACTCTCTGGACTGAGGTGATTTATTTGCTATCACACCTACTATTGCCAGCTCATACTTTCATTTCCAGAACCCTTCATTTTAAAGGGCAGATCCATTCACTAGGGATTTATTAACACTAAAAAGACACAGCACTTGGGAGTGTACAGATTATGAACAGCAGCCATGTGGCTTCACCATAAGTGAGTCAGCACCAATTTAGACTCACTGAAACCCCAGTTCCATCTATGTATATGTTTACTTCATACTGCATTTACTTTCCTGTCAATGTGTGCCTGAAACAGTAAATACACAGAATTATTTTGCAGTCCAGATAGTAGCTGATTTTCCTAATATTTCCAAGACATTAAGTTGTATATAGAGAGGAAAAGAAAGAATTTCACATTTTGTGCACGTCTCTCAAAATGTGGACAAATGTCCATCCTTAACTCACCTCTTACCAACTGATACATCACCCATATTTATAAATGATGGAAATTCTACAACATTCACAACAGGGTAAGCATGCAGAGGAACAATGGATGTGTCTTCTCCCTGAAAAAAAAAGGGGGGGGGATAAATATTTATTTCTTAGCATGGATAATGTAGCATTTGGCCAGCAATTGGGCAGAAAACATCTTCAAGATCATCACTGTGTTGCACCTCAGGATATTGATATTCTACTGGCTTTCAGTACTGACACCAGAGCTCCTCCAAGCCTGCTCAGCAAAGACATCAAAGTGGCACAAAGACTTATCTACTGGCAAGAATAACAGAATAAGGCAGATATTCTACCCACAGTTCTGGGATGTTTACAATGAGAAATATTTTAAATTATTCCAAACTTACTGGGAATAAACTCTAGGAGATTAACTGTACCTGTACCTCATTGTCCTCATGTCCTAATAGTTGCTTCATTCCATTACAACTGTAAATCCATGTTACAATAAATCCTCACCTGACAGTGAATTCGGATGCAGTCACAGTAATACCGCCACTCATCAGGGCAAAAATCAACAGTGACCACATATGACAAGCCAGGGACAAGCCGGTGCTAGAAAATGACCCAAAATAAGATAGAACACACGTAAAAGCTGCTTATATGACACAAAACTTGTGCTGCATGCAAAGGGCAGGGTGAAGGCTTTCTGACACTTACTGTTTTGTTGTATTTGATCTGAAAATACCTTGTCTGGGGTGGTATTATGTGAAGGTTTATTACATCGCCAGAAATATTTATCAGCTTCTGTGGGACAAAATAAAACTGAAAGTGCAAAACACTTTACAATATAAGAGGTCAATTGAGAATGCCAACTGAACTTTTTGTGAGACTACCCATAGCAAAGAAGTTGTATTAAACAAAGAAGTAATAATTTTTACTTCAGCAGAAATAATTTTGAATCCTCTCTGAATTTAAAAGAAAATTATTTAAACCTCATAAAAATGCATCCTGCATTGTTATTATTTGGAACTAAGTCCCAATTCCTTATCTAGGAATAACAGTTAGTCTTGCTACTGTTGAATCAAATTCTGGTCCTGCTTTGCTTATGTGCAAAAGCAACAAAAAATCAAACCTATTGATTTTGCTTTTACATAGGTCTGAATCAACAGAACTGATGTAATATCCCATGGTTTTGTTTTGGATCACAAAGCCACAAACAGTTGTTCAGCCTGTAAAGCCTCCTTCATCTTGTAAAATTTCAGTATATCTAAAGAACTTAGTCCATGATAAACACCCAACCTCTGCCTCAAAACCCTCACCACATGAATGAAGGCAGCAGACAAAGGGAAAGCAGAGAGAGGAAAAGGAAACACCCAAACTTTTCACAGGGAACAGTAATCAAAACTATGCATTGAGCTGCTTTCCTTAGATTAAATTGCTCTTGGCAGAAAGCCAGAGGTGCTTTCAGAATTTTCCCACCAGTGAACATGTTTGCAGACACAGAGACAGACCCAGGACATTTTGAAAACAGTCCCCTATGGAGTTAAAGCCTGGCTCCTTCATTCAGGACATGCAAGTCACAGATCACTGACACTGCTGGCAGACACGGACAGGGAAAAGTAAAACAGAGACTGGAAAGGACAGTGATGCACACAGCACAGTGCTCATCTGTTTTGTTACTGCAGGGCCATGGATGTTATGTGCTGCTTTTCAGAGCACTCCATAGAGCAAAAGGCTCACGACCACAAACAGCCTACTCAGCTTCTGTTGTCCTTTTATGAGCCCCAAGAGGATCCCTCCTCTGATACTTACCAGCGCCTGTTGGTGATGTTTTCCAACTTCATACCCTCCGTAGTGTAACACAGCAGGCTCAGCCTGTACAACCTTGCTCCTCTGAAGTTCTGAATAAATTTCTACAGAGACAGATAATACAACAGGGAGAAAAGGAGGCACACACGTGGTGGTTTGTTAGTTACATTGACTACATATATCTATGTTTCACCCAGTGTATCATAGAGGAAAAAAATGAGATTATTTCTGCTCTTAAGCAGGCATGACTCTTTAAATGGAAAGTTAAGGCTGTATCTAGTACCCCAGTAAATCCATGATCCTGTCCCCAGGCTACCTCTTGGCATCATGGCTTCAACAACCCACCCCAAAACTCTAGGGTACAGCCACTGTTTCTTTCCTAACTACCTCACCTATGATTTGAGCTCACAAGCAGATGTAATTTCAGCAACAGGATAGGAATTTTGCCTGTAAGTTGCAAAAAACTCTCCAAAACAACAAAATTAAAAAAAAAAAAAACCTAGCAAAAAACCACCCTAAACAAACAAACAAACAAAAAAGCAAAGTGCCTCCTAGGATTGCTGTAAGGTTGGGGGTTGGAGCAGAAACTTACTTGATTCCAGCAGGTAATTTGGGACAGCATGTCTTTTTTTAGGTTCTTCCACTAGGCTGTCCAGAAGGACACTGGATATTTTCTCGAAGGATTTCTTAGCAATCACATTTTCTGTGGAGGCCGATTGAACCACATCCATGTTTGGACAGAAATAGAGTCCAAATGGTACTAAAATTCCTCAGCACCTGCAGCAAATCAGAATAGCATTATGATTGAAGAGTCTTCCCTAGCACTGGTAACCTCTGTTGCCTAAAACTACTTAAAAACACTTAGAAGAGGGAGTAACTTTTGTCCTACTGAAGATTACCATGTGTGAGCATAGTACAAGGAGAGGGTGACTGCAGGAAACCTTGCTCTGTCTGCAAGCCTTAGCACTTTGGGTATGTTTATTTTCAGGACTGGGTAAAACATCTCCCTCTTCTTTCATGTCCCCCAGCACAGACAAGAAGAGAAGGTTCTTCTGATAATTCCATTATACAAACTGATTTCTACATAGATGGTCTTCCAGTCTCTCCTGAGTGTTTGGGTTGTTCACTTGCAGATTAATTTTTAATTTTTAAATATTAATATGAGGGATAAGAAAATTGGCATTTGAATCTTTTGTTTGGATAGCATCATCTGAGTTATTTGTTTAGTGAAGATAACTGTAAAGCCAGAGTGTGATTGGCATTACAGATCCTGTGCTAAGTAAGCACAGTTATCAGAACATAAACTACTCTAACAAGTGCAAATATTACAGAATAAGGATACCAGACACAATCCATCCACAAGAAATTATCTTAATAAATATAGCACACAGCCCTTGTCTCCCCTACAAACTGCAGAACTGCATGTTGGAAAAGACAAGATACTTTTGGAAAAAGCACCGAGTTCAAAAGCCATGCTGGATTTTTCCAATCTCAAGAAGGGGGCTGAAAACCCTTTGTTTGGCAGTTATCCTTCACGAATGGGAAGGTGGCTGCACAGCTCAGGATGGTCCCACATGACAATCAATGCACACTTGAACTCAGCCAGTGTTAGACACCATAGACTCCTCCACCAGGCTCCAGTCACGAGGCACCTTCCTGCTCCTGGAGCAGCAGCACAATGGCAGATGCTTGGACAACAGTTTGGTTGTATCATCCACACTACAGCAACACTTTGAAATTCAACAGTTCCCGAGATGAATCATTACTACTAGGAGTGGTACTGTGTCTGTTTTGTTGTTTTAACACCTTTGTAACAGCTTGAACGACCTGAAAGGGCCCAAACCTAAAATTAACACTGATCAATAAATGTTTGAGGGAAGAAGGGCAGAGGGGAGCTTCAAAATTATGCCCAGCACACCTGGATCAGTACTTCTGAGTAATTAAGAGGCCCATTTCCCTCATTGTATTTCATGGTCCCATCTCTGGCATTTGCCTGGCTCTCTAGTCTGCTTTACTTCTTTCAGGCAGAAGTTGAGAGATGTTTCAAGCTCATAATGTGCTGTTTTGATTTACAGCCTCGTACAGTATTAAATAATAAATAAGCAAGCAGCTTAAAATAATGTGCTACCAGAAGCCTGGCCTCAATCATAATTTTCCACTCTGTGGCTCCAAGTACAAATTTTCCACTTGCAACAGAAAATCACTAAGAGGAACTGCAATATTGTGCACACCAGTAAATTTCTTACAAGGTAGTGAGACCATCCAAACTGAAGACAAAAGCACGCTGAGAGATTCTAAACATAAGGCCTGCATTCTTTCCACTTGCGTGGCTCCACTGCAATTGACAGGACGGGCACCCTCCTCCCCTTGTTATTGGGAACACCAGGTGCGAGGAGCTGCACACAGGCCTGTGTCAGCAAAGGATTCCTGGTGGGATCTCGCCAGCCATTTAAAGCGATGCTTTAAATCACCCACCAGCTGCAGGACACTAGGGGATTCCTCAAAGGGCTAACACAGCACGAGTACTTACATCCCAAGGCCCTGGGGCGGACAGACGGACACCCCCCACCTAAAGCCACCAACAGGAGAGCTCTGGGGCCGGGAAGTCCCGGTTCCCTCGGAGGCAGCTGCAACGCCCACCCTGCCTGCCCCTCAGGCATCGGATCCGCTCAGGAACC